TCTGATCTCCTGTATATCCTGGGCCACCACCGTACACCTGCACACCAACCCCAGCAACCGAAATTAGAGGTACTGAGGTGTGCCAGTGTCCAAGGCCTCTGCAATGGCAGGGAATTGATCAACTGAGATACATCTAGATGATATTGGCAAGCATCCCATGCTGCAGAGGAAGGCAAAACCTCCCCAAGGTCATTGCCAGTCTGACCTGTGGAGCAATTCCTTCCAGACCGCACGTAGGATGACTTTTCAAAATGTCTTTTGTATTTTTCCTGTTCGCTTTGTGCGCTCAGTGTCACTTTATGTATAGTCAGTTTCCCTTATTTGCAGCCTGGAACAGGGAAGAGTACACTTTCTTTTTAAATAGGAAAACTTTATTCTAAAACCACAAAAGTTGTCAAGACGACATTACACCTGTCTCTGAATCTGAAACTATTTTGTAATTCTTATTGAAATTGACATTGTTCCTTTAACTGTTTCTTTACGTGCAGCAGTATAACTTTAAGTTATACTTAAAGTAAATATTAATTCTCCAGACTTGTTCTTAATATGCCTGTTAATGTGGCAGAGTGATGGTGGAAGGCGAAACATTAATGAAAGATGAAGCTGGATCAGCAGTCGTATTTTAGTCAGTTGTGGTGTACCGAATACGTCCAATAAGGGCCTCGAGTTGTCCTTCTGAATTTACTTTTTTCTTCATTTGTCTGATTTCCTAAATAATTACTTTGTGACATGAGTCCCAGCTGTTGCTATGATCTTTATGGTTTAAATTGTAATGACTTCTATTGCAGACAAAAATCTAGAAAATGCTGATGAAGCAGCAGAACAGTTCAAATTAATCCAAGCAGCATATGATGTACTGAGTGATCCTCAAGAAAGAGCTTGGTAAGTAATATTTGTCTGCCAGTGGAGCAGAAAAAACAATCTAACAAAGGGCTTGATTTTGCATTCATGTCTTAGGCAGGACTCCCATTGAAATCATTTGTGATTTCTTTATGTTGGTAGTCTGGATTGAGACTTTAGCGGTTAACAGCCAGTTAAGAGGTTTCTCCCACCAGTAACGATGTATACAACTGTTAGGCCCTGAGGTTACAGCTACAGAACACACTAGTCGTATTCTTGTAACAAAGAACACTTGAAATCACCTTTTAAAAATTGTGTTCCTGGATCGATTTGTTGTGTTTTAAATAGTTTTTGCTTCTGGTTCTCTCTCAAGCGTCTCTCCCAGGTTTATAGTTGCATGCACCTTTTTTTCCTCCTTGGATAACAGTGAGCTGCTTACTTCATATGTTTAGCTACTTTCTCAGGAAGCACTGTTTTTTCACTTTTCCACGTACTGAAAGAACGAATGGCACACACCAGCATAAAAGTGGGGAGGGCCTGGAGAATGTGTTTAGAGATCTGTAGAACCTGTAATTCACATTCTTGGAATCGTCAAACATTTTATTCAAACAAGTTAGATAACTTTATCCCAAAAGAATTACAGTAACAGTAATAGGTATTCCATGAACAACTGGAAGGTCCCACACTACCTGGGGTTTTCATCTCAGTGATTGTCTTAAGTTATATGTGTTCTTGATGCTGTTTTCTGCTAGGTATGATAACCACAGGGAAGCTCTGCTGAAAGGAGGGGTTGATGGAGAGTATCAAGATGATAGTTTGGATCTGCTGCGCTACTTCACTGTTAACTGTTACTCTGGATATGGTGATGATGAAGAGGTAATGAACTGACTCTCTACTGAGTCAAGTTAAAACTTTTTTTTTTTAAAAAGGCAATGGAAGTAAATTGGTGCATTAATACACCATTCTTAAAATTACCGAACATAAGTAGAAAAATGTTTACGGTAAACTTTAAAAAAGGGGGTGTGGGAGGAAAACATACATTGGATATTTAGTCAGCTTTAAAGGTCCCCTTAATCGATACTGCTGTACAATTGTATACCAACACTTTACATGTAATACATCCCCAGGCACTTCGCTTTCACTGTGCAATCCCATTATGCTGAAATGTTTCACAAATTGGAATGCATTAGGATATAAAAAGCGGCATTATGCCAGTGCTCTGGGGTATGCACTTGTTGCCATTTAACTTCCAGGTGGCGTTTAAGGTGTTGATGTTGATCTAAAAAGTCCCAAATGGTTTGGAATATCCTGCCTGAGAGATTGCCCATCTCTCTGTGATACTGCCATAGCTGCAGCGAGCTGGAATACCCTTAGCTTATAATAATGGAGCTGCTGGTAGGCGATTCTTGTCTTTGGAATTCTCTCCTGCCTTAGTCCAACACAACTGCCTGGGTCACAATGGGTTTTTTTGTATTAGCTGATTGTTTTTGTTTAGTTGGGGTTTTTTTTTTTAAATTAAAAATTGGAAGGGCTCTTAGAGCCTGGCATAATCACTTAATTTTGGTATGCAAAGTCTTTATTTTGACTTAAAACTGTTACTGTAGAATTTAAATAATCTTTCTCTGAAGTTGATCATTTTAATTCTTTAGTTGCAAAAGCATACAATTAATTTCTCAGTAACAATGGTGTATATTTCAGGGGTTCTTTGCAGTCTATCGTCAAGTTTTTGAAAATATTGCAAAGGAAGAGATGGAATATATATCTCAGGAAGATATTGAAGAATTCCCTACTTTTGGATACTCTCAGAGTGATTATGATAAGGTAAGATACATAACGTTTGGAAGTCTAAACTATTTTTTACACCGTAATATCACTAGGAATTGGGGCTTAATCCATCTCCCTTTGAAATCAGAGGAAAGGCTCCCATTGACATTATTGAGAGTTGAATCTGGCCCAATGTGTACATAAAGCCTTCCCTGCCTAACCAAAAGCTCTTATTTAATGCCTTGTGTATACTTAAACCTTTCACTGCTTTACCTACACCGACATAGGTAGTGTCAAAACCCCTAGTGTAGACACAGCGAAGAGTCCTGTGGCACCTTATAGACTAACAGATGTATTGGAGCATGAGCTTTCATGGGTGAATACCCACTTCGTCGGATGCATGTAGTGGAAATTTCCAGAGGCAGGTATAAATATGCAAGCAAGAGTGAGTCAGACTAGAGATATCGAGGTTAGTTCAATCAGGGAGGATGAGGCCCTCTTCTAGCAGTTGAGGTGTGAACACCAACGGAGGAGAAACTACTTTTGTAGTTGGCTAGCCATTCACAGTCTTTGTATGCAGTTATTCCAGTATAAAAGTGCATATATCAGTATAGTTTATTCCAGTTCAGTGAAGCAAAATAGAATACACTGGTATAAAGCTCCTTATACTGGCATATTTATGTTGCCTAAAAAAAAAAATCTCACCCATTACTAGCTTAGTTATAGCCGTAACATTTAAAGTGTGGACTAGGCCTAAGAAATAAAAGGATAGATTTTATCCTTGATGTCTGATCGAAATCAGCCTTGCCGATGTTCTATAGTGCTATGTATTACAGCACGGAATACCTGAAGACGTAACTATTTATTAAGAGACTGTATTTGTGTTATATAATTTTACCGTTTTATTAAACCACAATTACAAAAGTAAAACTTGCTCACTACATAACACAAAATACGCGAGATAGTGGATAACCAACAATTGTGACTGCTGCTGAAATCTCTCCCGCCATCTAAGGCTTTTCATGGTGATGCCCCCACTTTATACTTTCATGATACCATCTATACTCCCAGCTGTTCTGTCATTTCTTACTTCCTCTCCCAAAGGCTGATCCTTTCATTCTGCCATGCCAACTAACAACTAAAAAATCTCCCGTTGTAAGATTGTTCCCAGAACCTACTAGCATGTTTATGCTGCCTTCAACAGTAAGCTAGCAATCAGCTCCCTGTATAAGCACTTAAGAGCATTGGCACTAAATACATATTCTAATCTGTTCCTTCTTGCGCTTACCTCTTCGTAATACTTCCTCCTAACATTTAAATTATAATATTCTTTTAATCAGTTGTGAGTAATTTGTACATATCAGATGGAAAACTGTTATGAAAACAGGGACAAAATATTCCAGTGAAATGTGATTTGCGGTAACACTATTTTCACTATGTGTATATTAATGTACCTTCTAGCCTGTTGAGACAAGTACTCTAAATTTCCCAAGATAATCAAAGTCCTAACACAGGCTATTCGAGAAAATTGTTTATGAAAGTCTGTAGAAGTTGGAGAAAATAGCCTGTTACAAACTGGACTGTGATAAGGGGTTTTCAAGACTGCAAGTAAAATCATGGGTTGGCATAATGAGCTAACAATTGTAGAAATGGGAGGAAATGTTTATGGGTGACTCACCAAAATGTTTTGATGGAATGAGGTTGACACACCATTTTTGACCTTGTTTATCTGGGGTCACTAAGTGGAAGCTGTGGGAGCCATGGATTAAAGCAAACAATTTTTAACATTGACAATGCCACCATTTCCTGGGACCCTGAGATCCACCATGACATTGTTGGGCCTTCATCATCCTGATCCTGGAAGGCATTCTGACCAGACTGGGCCAGAAAGATGGAACCAGATTATATGCTGCTTTCAGCCGCCTTGGTTAAAGCTGGTGTGAACCTGGAGTGTGAACCTTGGGTTCCTGTTATCACCCCCTTTCTCTGTCACTGTCCTTCTACACCTTATTTCTCCTCTTTCCTATCTATCTCTACCTTCTGTTTTCTGAAAGTTGGACTTAGCTGGCCAGGACTGCACCTTTCTCAACACTTCTGTGAACCTGTGGCTGGAGAGGCCACCTAAAAGCAATGTCTTAAACAGCCCAAAGCTGGTATGAGTTTGGTAGGTCTCAGAGTGGCTAATAAGACCATGTGCTAGGTCTGTGTTTCTCCACCAGCAAGGTTGCAAGTGAAAATCAGCACCAGAGACAAGCTATATTTTTTATATTTGCTATTCTTTTCTCTTCCCATGTGCGCCTTTTGTCTTAAAGGAGGAAACCGCATTGGTCTTACAAAAGCAGCAGCAACAATTTAAAACCATTTAAACTAACCTATTCTTGCTACCTCCAGAAAGGGCAGTGAATACCATCTAAGACTGTCAAGTGGGGCTTTTCCCTATAAATAGCTCTATAGAGGCAAAAGGAATATGGGATATTGCCATAATAAAAGGCTTAGTAATTTTCATTTTAAATGCTTAAACTGTGAGGTTTTTTGCATCTCCTTAATAAATGGTTAAAAAGACTTTTTTTAATGGCAGTTGTTACAGTGGGAGTTCCCAGCAGTATCTTGACAGGAAAACCTACATGATGCTTAACTGGTTGTTAATGTAACAGTAAAGAGGGGTTTCACTACCATCTTATCCCTCGTTGGGCCAAAGATCTACCCCCTTACTGATGCCACAGGCCAATGGCAGCTTTTTTTAATTAACTTAGTGTGAACTTGGAACTTGGCTTCAGTAAAATTTTAAATCTCTTTTTCCACATAGTAAGAAATATCTTGGATTTCTACAAGGCATTGGATTTACAACCACATGACATCTTGATTTAAAAATTTGTATATGGAACTAACAGCATATGTTAGATGTATTAAAAATTGTCTCACTGACAGATCTCAAGATGTAGTTGTTAGTGGGAAGACCTCAATGAGTGATGCAGTTTTCTAGCAGAGTCCCTCAAGGATTGGTTCTTGGTCCAGTGCTATTCAATATTTTTATCAACAATTTAGATGTTAAATCTTTGCTGGTTATATTTGCAGATGACACAGATTGGTCGGGTAATAAGTAGTGATGAGGATTGATGACTGTTATGGAGCCATCTGAATCACCCAGTTAAATGGTCACAATCAAACAAAATACATTTTCATACAGCTAAATGCAGGATAACACACCAAGGAACAAGAGTGCAGTTTACGCCAACAGAGTGAGAAACCATCTTGGACAGCAGTCACTCAGAAATGCTGAGGCTAAAAGGGCTAGTGTGATCCTTGGATATATAAAAAGGGGAATACTGTATTAAGCAGAAATAGGGAAGTAATCTTGCTTTTCTACACAGTAGTGGTGGTAAGGCCGGTACTAGGATACTATGTCCAGTGTTGGTGTCTGTGTTTCAAGAATGTGTAAATACCAGAGAGAGTTCAAAAGAGAACCACAAAAATGATCCAGGGTTTGGAGAAAAGGGCGGGGGGGGAGAGCGGGGAAGGGGAACCTTACGATGTGAAGCTTAAGCAACTCAATCTATTTAGCTTATTGGAGAGAAGGTGAGAGGTGACTTGATCACTGTGTATAGGTATTTACACACAGAAAAGATATGTGATTAGTGGCCGCTTTTCAATAGGCATAATAAGATCCAGTGGCTGGAAGTTCAAGTTAAGCAAATTCGATCTTGAACTTAGATGCAATTTTCTACCAGCGGTAATTAAACAACGGAACAGTTTACCCTGAGAGAGAGAGTTCAGCACCGCATGGAGTCTTTAAAATGAGATTAGATATCCATCTAAAAGACATGCTTTAATCCATCTCCTGGGAAAAATTCTATGCGTTGAGTATACAGGAAGTCAAATGAGATGAGTGTAAGGGTCCCTTCTGGCTTTGGAGTTTGTATATCTATGAAAATCTAAATAGACTTTGGTAGCTTTTTTTCAATATGATGTCTTACAACTTTTGCCAATTCCCGTCTTTTCAACAGGTAGTCCATCCTTTTTATGCTTACTGGCAGAGTTTCTGTACTCAAAAGAACTTTGCTTGGAAAGAGGAGTATGACACACGGCAGGCATCAAACCGTTGGGAGAAACGAGCTATGGAGAAAGAGAACAAGAAAACTAGAGACAAAGCAAGAAAGGAGAGGAATGAACTGGTTCGTCAGCTAGTGGCTTTTATTCGTAAAAGAGATAAGAGAGTACAGGCACACAGAAAACTCATAGAAGAACAGAATGCAGAAAAAGCTAGGAAAGCAGAGGAGCTCCGGAGACAGCAAAAACTCAAACAAGCTAAGTATGTAAATATTGAAGGAAGCATTTTTGGAACTGAGAAATAATCATGGGAGATTCATATTGGGTCATATTTTTACCACCTGCAGCTTACATTGTTTTAAAGAATAAATGTTGGCATTTCGAACTTTTGTCCTTAAGTCTGAGATTTGAAGACTGAGCTGCTCATGGCAGAGACAATCCTCCTTGTACCCAACACCTTGTGGGTAGTAAAGAAATATGAAATAAGTTTTAATAATCAGTATTTTATTGTTGTCAAAGTCTTCAATGCCACATAATCCACAAAACAAAGGTGGTAGCAGGTTGGCAGAAGAATGCTGAGTATAAGTGAAGTGGGGTGGGAGTTCCTTTTACTTTTTAAGGGGATCTGTCATTCCTTATCACAGAGTATCACAGTTGAGGGACATTTTGTATCCGGAATGGCATTGGTGATTAAAAGCCTTTTTTTTTCATCTGTTTGATTAATGTTTGCAACCATTTTCCTTAGATTTGGACCTTGGCTGTGTAACTTGTATCTTTTCAGTAATCTAGTCTAGAATTCAGTGTGCTTTGCGTGGGTCTATACTTTAAGACCACTTAAAAGCTACATTTGACCAACTGCTTGGTAGTGTTGTTTTATGACAAAGTTACTAACTACCTTACCATCATGCCAAGAATATTGCACGATATAAACTTCATACCCCAATTTGTTTCTTAAACTTTGGGAACACTTTAGAACATGATAAATTTTTGCTGAGGAAACAATGTACAGGACTGATTAACAGTTGATTAACTTGAGAGGAAAGGTGCTTCTCATTTGGTAATAATCATATACCTCTGAAGGTGAGGAGTTTATTAGCCCATGACAATTCCTATCAACTCAGAATATCTGCACATTAACTAAAATTTTTGATATTCATTTTAAATGAAAGGAACAAACTTGCATAAAACAATGAGCTGTTAAACTCAGGCTGCTAAAAGGTAAACTTGGGGAGGGGGGAACCAGCCTTTTTGCTCTTCCTCCCCCACTCTCTTATCACTTTTGTCTTTTGCTCCCCACAGGTCAGAAAGAAATACTCTCCCTGGGCTAAGTGCAATATATTTTGTTTATATTTCAAAAGTGAATTAGGAGCAGGGCACTGGGATTCTCTCACTGTAAACACAAAATATATTCTTGGCACAAAAGAGGCAGAGAAAGGAGCTTAAATATTTAATCACTCTTCTTTCCAGCAAATCCATAGGCCCACTTTCCTTGTTTCTGGATGTTTTTAATAGAGTGGATTTTTTTTTTCCACTGAAGGTAATGAAGCCCAAGTGATGGTTTTGCTGCAGGCAAAGAGCTTGAAAATTGAGTGCGGAAGGCAATTGGAGAAAAGATCTGAATAGCTGAAGTACAACTGTTGAGGAGTAATTGTACAGTAGTTATGTAAATCAGACACTCACAACCTATCTGTTCAGTTTTCCAGTCCCTGCAAAGAAACTAGTTACTGGTGTGTGTTGGATTTGGTTGAGACAAGACAGCTTGGGGGTTTCGTTCTTTTTAAATAAGTGAACATGACCAAATAATGACCCTTAAATAAAACACTGTTACCACTAAATTGTCTGAAATATAAAAAGTTGTTGTATTCTGCTTAAAGGCTTGGTGAGCAATATAAAGAGCAGAGCTGGATAGCTATGTCTGATCTAGAGAGAGAATTGCAGCAGATGGAAGCACAGTATGAAAAGGAATTTGGAGATGGATCTGATGAGGAGGAGGAAAGAGAGGAACAGGAGCCAAGAGAAGGAATAGATGGTAAGGGTCTGTTAATGTATTTTTGATTTGATACCTATAAAAAGACCTTGCAGTTGCTCCATATTTGTATGGCATAATCGTATAGTTGCATTCAAATCCTCGAGGCTTAAGTCCAGATTCCCTGCTGGCATATGCCACTAACTTCAGTTGAGCTATTTAAGGAAAAAGTTTAGTCCCATAGTGTTCTGTTCTCCTTTCGAACACTTATCTTCATGTTAGTAATGGATGCTTATTTGTGGTTGTGCAGGGAAGGAACAGATTATTTAGGGGGAGAGTTCTTATCACTCTGCACACTTCAGTAATCCTAAAGGGCTTGAATGGGCATTGTTGAAAGCATGCTGTCTCTTTAATTACTCAGTATCTCCTAAGAATCACTCAGCTAATTTTTCCCCTTCCCTTTTCAGATAAACTGAGTGATGAAGCTGAAGGCATTGAATTTTATGACGACTTGTACTGCCCTGCTTGTGACAAATCCTTAAAGACCGAGAAAGCGTAAGTTTTGTTTCTTTGAAAAGCTTGGAGACTTTCAGATTCACCTAGGTTATCTGGATGCCCAATACCCATTAAAGTTAATCCACTGTAATGGCATTTGGGCATCCACATGCCCTAGGTAGCTTTGAAAGGCTTAACCCTTTTCATTCAAGTAGGTATTTTTTGTTTTAGAAATTCCTACTATGAACACTGAAAGGCATTAACCATTGTCATTGATCAGAGACCTTTATATGTAAATGAAATAAAATTTGCTTAAAGTAACAATTGCTCCTGATTCATAGTCTAGTAATTATCTACTGCTCTTTATAGAATGAAGAACCATGAAAAGTCAAAGAAGCACCGAGAGATGGTAGCGCTGTTACGGCAACAGCTGGAGGTGGAGGAGGAGGAATTTTCTGTATCTACAGATGACAAAAATGAAGTGAATACCAGAGAAGATGAAGAAATGGAAGAAACACCCAAACAGAAGTACCTTAAAAATAGATTGTTTACACTTACTCTAGCATTTGTTATAGTTCCACTATGTAATAGTGGTCTTTATGAGGCTCTGAAAAAGAGTCCTGGGATAGGCATATGATCACATCAGGACTCATTTAATTGTACTGCACAAGTTGTTAAAATATCTCTTTGCGTCAATGTTCCAACAAAAAGAGTAGATTTTTTATGATATCAGTGGAATGAACTGTTGTAGGATAATGGTCTCCCACTCCTTATATTCTGGCTTTATAGAAAAATAAATGCCAAGGCAAAGCAAAGATGTTAATATTTTAAAGCAGGAGATCTTGTTACAGGCCGAGTGTTTATTGTGTAGGTACAGCATTGTCTGTCAGGCACTGAGACTAGCCTAGAAAACTTGTTTGCTTCAGTTAATTGGAAGCTAGTTTATGCAAGATGCAGCATACTTTTAAAAGCTGTACTATGCTTATGATAAAGCTGGTTTCTGAATGTCCAGTCATTAAGGATTGGATTTTTTTAATTCAGTTTGAGCAAGAAATCTACAGAGACGTCACTAAATACCATAAATAGCGCACAAAACAGCTAACTGTTTTCACTTCAGGAGTCTGACAGTGTTTTTTTCTTTCTAGCCATGACTTCCTGTTGCATTTGTGATACAAGTGAGATCAGAACTATTATCACTTAAAATGTAGCATAGAATTATTGGTTTTTAATCTTTCTAAAATATAATATTGGCAATCTAAAAATTTATTCAACTCTTCACTTTTACCTTTTTACAGACTCTCCAAGAAGAAGAAAAAGAAACATAAAACAATGACGGTATGTAGTTTATACAAAATCTTTGTGGCTCTATTGAAAATCTTGGTTAGCTATTTCTGTGGTCTTCTGACCTAGCTTTCCAGTAGTGTAAAAAATTGAGGGAATTAGGAATTCTAGAGACTGGAAAAAGCTGCTAAATTTATTACATCTAATCGACTGGTGTATTTCTCAAGGAGTCCATTGTTTTCAAAGACACTCTGACTCCATATCTGTTTTAACGCAGGTACTTGTATAACCCCCATTATTGTAGTAGTATCAGAGCACTTCACAATCTTCGGTGCATTTATCCTCACAACACCCATGTGAGGTAGGGCAGTGCTGTTAGCCCCATTTGACAGACAGCCTCTCTGTGCTGCGGTTTTCGAAGTGGCTTGCCCATGGTTACATAGTAAGTCTGTGGCAGTGCAGGGAACTGAACTCAAATCTCGTAAATTCTAGTCTAATGCCCTAACTACCGGACCATCCATTCTCTCAGCTAGAACAGGTTGCTGGCTTCCATTCAGGAAACTGTTGTATGCATGTTGCTTGACTATCTGACTCTGACAATATGGCCAACTATTGTCCAATATATAATCTTCTATTTTTGTTTAAGATTGAGAGGCAGTTCTGAGTGCCAGAGGTATAGCCAGAGGTGATTTGCTGCTAATCCACTGGCCCCAGGAGAAGCATAATACTGTGCACTAACCTTGCCAACAGCACTCAGTAATCCACAAAATTCAATAATCTGTACTGGGCCTTTCCCACATCCATGCAAATTAGTGATGTTCTCTTGTAGCTTTAGTTTACTTGCAATCTTGGTAAGCCTCTTTTGTCTGAGTTTACTAAAGTAACTAATGTACTGATTCTCCTTCTCTTGTCTCCCAGCACCTCACTTCCACCCAACACAATTCTAATTGTTACCCTTTCAGTGTTGCTTAAAAGGTTGAGAAAATACATTACCTAGTTGCCTCAGATCTCCTTGACCCTTGTCAATCTGGGTAAGAGTTGCAGTGTTTTGGCTGAAATTTTCCTGAGGCAAACACCTGGCATGGAAAATTTCAGCCCGAATGCTTAAGTTTGGCAGTCATAAGCAATTGAAAACAAGGTCTTTTAATGGGAAGTGTTGGGCAGCTTTAATAATAATGGACCTCATAGAATCATCTAATACAAAATTACAAAAAAAATGTTAGATGTTTCGATGTATAGATCATTCCATCCTCCCTTCTTTATGCCTTAACGGCTATGTGCTATGGGTTCTTGCAAAGTCTGAGCTGTGACTCTTAGACCTTTGATAAAGACTCTTTGGCTCTCTTCTCTTCATCACAGCCTGATTCTTTCTCAAAATGCTACAGCCAAAACTTCAGTTCTCTTCACCTCACTGCGTCTCTCACAAAACATCAATGTAAAAATAGACAAGCTAGATTTTCGTTGAGGCAAATTGTTAAATCTGCAATTACTGTACACACAGTTGCCAACTAATTATCTGAGAGCAATAAATACACATTTTTTCTTTGGATAGACGTATGAAGACTCTTTCAACAACAAAACTACAGATGACGCTACAGTTGAACAAAAAGAAGCTGACAGTGCAGACCGGGAGGACAGCATAACAGAAGAATTGGAAAATGTTGGCCAAAGAAATACTGCTTCTGAAAAAACAAGTGCTGCAGAAACTGTAGATGAAGTTAATGAACCAAAAAGTGAAGCAAAAAGGTAACAGCATCACTTTGTGATGACTTGTAATATATGACTTACTTTGTTGCATTCTTTAGTTTAATAGTCCATGTTTTAAAGGCCTGAATTTTCTCTCACCAGTGTAAACTGAAAGCTACTCCACTGAAATTGAGTTATGTCAGAGTAAAACTGGTATAAGTTAGAATTGGTTCCTAAATTGGCAGTGGCTTTAGATTGCAAATAAATAGCCCACACTTAATAAACAACCAGTATCCAGACAAACCATCTTGTTAGCAAATATGCTAATCCTGTAGATAAGTTATTTGTTTTGCTGTTAACAATTTGATTTTATAATGTCTTACAGGGGAAACTGGCGGGGCACAAATGGGAGTTAGGCACTTAACTCATGTTTGTGCCTTTAAAAACCTCATTCTGTTAACTGTGTAGCAACTTGATGAGTGGTTCTGGGCATTCATTATAAAGATATTCTTCATAGTTATCCAGAGAGTCACCAAAATTGGGCAGTAGTTCTCAGCCTTTCCAGACTACTCTACCCCTTTCAGGAATCTGATTTGGCTTGCATACCCCAAGTTTCACCTCACTTAAAAACTACTTGCTTACAAAATCAGATCTAAAAATACAAGAGAGTCACAGCACATAGTTTCTGAAAAATTGCTTACTTTCTCATTTTTACCATGTGATTATAAAATAGATTGAATTATAAATATTGTACTTACATTTCAGTGTATAATATATAGAGGATAAACAAGTCGTATGTAATTTTAGTTTGTTCTGACTTTGCTAGTGCTTTTTATGTAGTCTGTGGTAAAAGTAGGCAAATATCTAGGTGACTTGATGCATCCCTGAAAGACCTCTGCGTACCCCCATGGTTGAGAACCACTGCAATTGGGTATAGGCAGCAATTTTGTTTATACTAAAGTACTCATTTTTGTAAAATTAGAACTCTGTTTACGGTCTTAGTTTTTGGTGAGAGTAAGTGGAACAGAAGTTTAAAATGCTTAAAAAATAAGCGGAGTGAAAAAAATGTACACATCATACATTTATGCATTTCAATTTAAGTGAAATATTCCATCAATAGTAACTATTTAACATAAGAATGGCCATATGGGGTTAGACCAGTGGTCCATCTATCGCCGTATCCTGTCTTCCGACATGGGCAGTGCCAGAAGGAATCAATGGAACAGGGCAATTATTGAGTTATCCATCTCCTGTTGTCCAGTACCAGCTTCTGGCAGTCAGCGGCTTAGGGATACCCAGGGTAGCTACAAGGACATACGGAGCCGGGTAGGGAGCCTGCCAGCCCTGCCAACCCTCCCCAGCACCACCAGGGGTCCTGGGCTATGCGCCACTACCTGCTTTCTCCCTGTCAGCATCAATGGGGGTCCTGGGCTGCTGCCCACCCAGCACCTCCCACCCAGCACCTCCCACCCAGCACCTCTGAGGGTCCTTGGGCCACCCCCCCAGCATCTGCAACACTCCCGGGCCACCCCCCCAGCACCTGCAACTCCCTGGGACCACTCGCCCCAGAGCACCGCCAGCCCAAGTTTTAGTCAGGGGTATATAGTACAAGTCCTCAGCAGGTCACGGACCGTGAATTTTTGTTTACTGCCTGTGACCTGTCCATGACTTTTACTAAAAATACCCATGACTAAAATATAGCCTTAGTTATTTACTAAGCATTGTGGAATCCTTACCTCCCTTACTCTCCAGCTTTAAGGAAGTGAAGTGAATGAGACAACTGCTGCTTCACCTTCCTTACATTTTCAGTACACAGCAAAGATACGTATATTCACTTGTATAGTGCTTCCTTTCCCAGTAAATCTGTAAGGCCCTGTGCATGCGCTTTTTTGTGAAAGCTCACATTTGGCCCAAACCAAAACACAAAAAGGCATGTCTCCTCTGCGCAGGCTACTTTCAGGTCTAATGCCTAACTCCAGCTGTTTCAGTACTTTAACTGTTTAGATTTCTTTTAATGCTAACAGATTTGTAAAGTTCATTTTATTTCCCCCACTTGTTCTCAAACAGTTGAACCTATTTTGCTCAGACCTTTTGCCTATGAATACAATAAAATTCACTTTTGGACAAATGCCAAGCCTGGAATATATATTTCAGTCCTACAGGCAAGTTTCAGAACATTACAATGGTCTGAAATGGGTTAGAATGGAGAACAGTGTGCACTTTTCACTTCCATTAGAAGTGAAGGTGGGAGGGAACCCTCCAAGTAGTGAATCACACACACAAGGTTATTTATTAAGCAGAAATTAATGGTGACCAAAAAACTGCCTTAAATGCTAGTTTGTGCAAAATATTAAAAAAAAATTAAAAAAAGTTTAAATATCAGCCCATTTAGGTCCCAGTCCAGTACCATGAGATTTAAAAACCTTAGTAATTTAAAACCATCAGTCCTGCTGAATGTGTTCATAGAAAAACTTGGTTCAGTGTGATGACAGGTAATCTGAGATCTTAAACACTCTTGTCTTTTCAGCATCCCTAAGCCTAAAGGAAAGAGAACCAAGGATACAAAAAAATCTGTAAAGGTAACTTCAGAGCTTCAAGATAAGGTATGTGGAAAGTATTTAAAACTACAGATTCTCGATGGCTGGTAAACAGTATAATGTCCAAAAAACAAACGACTTTTGGTCTAGTAGTTTTCCAGCTCCTGACACTCTTCTCCTGTTCTTGAAAGCTCTTTTGCCTGTTTTTCATGTATTTGTCCATAAGACACTTTCTGTTCATGCATGTTTACCAAAATCTAAGAAAAGTGGAAACATTCTTTTCTTTGGAGGAAAACCGTTCCTCTTTAAAGCTAAATATTTCAGCTTAATCTAGGATAGTCTTCTACATACATGGATCTTGGACTTCTAGATCCATCTAACCTTAAATCTGTCTTCTGGCCTCTATGTGGAACAAATGAGCTGTTGTCACGATATGTTTGTATGGTGCCTAGAGCAATGGGGACTCCCAGCCTAGTTAGCTGTGTTAGGTACTAATGCAATTCCATTTAAAAATAATGGCCCGGCTATTTCCTTAAACATATGTAGACCATTACTGTGAAACTGTTTCAGTAGCACCTAGAGGCCTCAGCCAGGGTGGAGCCCCATTGTGTTATGCAATGTACAAATATAGTGACAACTCAATTTTATAGATTAATAATTATTATACACATGCTGGTGGATGTAGATCTGGATTTTTTTTAAAATCTGTAAGTAGATCTGGAAGGATTAGATTTAACTTGGTAACTGCTTATAATCATCTTCTCCCCAAAACAGTTTCTGTCCTTAATAGAAATTTACAGACAAGAGTTAGACATGTTGATGGCACTTTTTTTTAAAACTATCAGTCATATTCCTTCTCACACATGTTAATTTTCTGAAATGCCTACAGTCACTCAGCTTTAAACAAACATATTAGTCTTTTCTGCTAGTATGAAAATATTTAACAAGAAAAAAATTGGGAATATAATACGTTGAAATTTGCTTTAAAAGATGAGCCCAGGAAAAAACTAATATCCTAGTTTTGCTTTAAGGGATGCTGTTTCAAATCTTAGTGTTTCTTGCAGATCTGTAGTTCATTTAGGAGCCTATTTGGCACTTAATAAGGAGTGTTGAATCAAGCTTATTCGCCATAGAACACTTTTCAAATGTTCAAAAAGAGTTGGTCACGTTTTCCTGAATGAATCATTCATGCTTATTATCCATTTCAGAGGTTATCTGTTTGTTAAAAATAAATGTTAACTGTTCAATATGCACTCTTCCTTAGCCAGTAAAACAATAAAATACGGTTATATTGTTTCCATAGTATTTACTAACATGAAGCAATGTATTTTTTTCTCCTACCAGAATGAAGATATTCCTATCCACTGTATAACCTGCAATTGTGAATTTGAGTCCCGGAATAAACTGTTTGAACACTTAAAGGCAACAGGCCATGCAAAAGCAATGCAAGCACCAGCTGTAAATGGTGCTGGGAATAGCAGAAGCAAAAAAGAGAAACGTAAAAACAGATAGGACTTCGCTTGTTTTGAACTGTCAGTTTTTGGATGCATATCTGAAGAAAACACTCAAAACCAAAGGACAGCAATCCTACTATCTAAATTAAATTGGGAAGCAGTTCTTGGGCCTGCAACAGTTCAGTGTGGCAAAACATTTTTATCTTGTACAAAAAATGTGTTTAATTTTTTACCAACAACTAAATTGCATCTGGTCATTCCAGGGGCTTTAAAGTCTTGAAAAAAATAACAAATATTCTTAAAGCTGGTCATCCTAGATACCCGGTGGGACTTGTATGAATGAAAGTGTACAGGGGGGAGAAAATAAATTATTTTAACACATTCTTTTTATTTTACAGAGCTCCTCTAATATGAGTTAGGATGGACAGGTATCTGTCTGACCATCTGTCCATGGTAGACCACCATAACAACAACAAAAACTTATGTCTTAGATTTCTACATTTCTCTACTGTTCCCTATGGGACCCCAGTTCCTATCTAGGATGTGATGCAAATTAAAGCCCCACAACTATAAAACTATTTGTAGAATAAGGGTTAATCTATCCCTAAACTTTGCATACACAGCCAAAATGTAAAGAATAAAATACACAAGGGCAGTGTGTGATATCTTTTATTGGACCAAGAAACTAACTCATGTGTAAACTGAATTGACAATAATTAATTGTAATTTATACTTAACAGCTGAATTGTTAATCCTGTCTTTAACCTGAACAGGGAAAAAAGGTTATTTAACATCCATGAGCTCTCTACTGATGACAGGAGGGGAACATAGCACCTTGTGTCAGCAGCCTGGGATGGTATGGAGTGAAGAGGGAGAGCTGCTACCAGTCAAAGGAGAAAAGATCACTGTTGAGGGTGGGCAGGAGACTGGATTAGAACCCACCGAAGAATGATTGTGCCCTTACTTTTTTTTTAATAAGTATCTTCCTCTATAACTACTAAACAAAATCCATCCTCATGTTACAGGCTACGCATACAACTTTCCTTCACTAAGGCCCTGCTTGAAGAGCTGCCCCTCTGCCCTGGAGGAATTTCACTCCTCCCCCTCACTTCCTATGATGAGTGTAATAGTAGCATAGTTTTCCACTAAGTGTTTTTCAGGAGCGAAGTATTGTTTGTCCTGTGATGGGGTCTCCCGTCTTGGTTAGGAAGTGCACTAGCTACTAAGCAAATGTCACTGGAGCAAGATTACACAGAGCCCTCCCTCTGTCACTGTAGAAACTATATCCAGAATTTCAGCTACTAAGAGCAAACCAGCCAGGCATAAAGAAAGGAAGAACTATCCCTGATATGATATAATTGTAAAGGCTGTACTATTCAGCATGCCCTTTCATGTAGTGCGAGCCTTAATACACGAGCCAATCTCACTTGCTGCTGTGACGTGCAGGAAACCTAGTCTCAGACTAGGTAGACAGCACTGCCTAATTTAAAAACATTTGATTTGTGTTAATAGGTATTGTTTTCTTAACATTACACTAAGACTGATTTCTTGCAGGTATAGCAAACTGAGTCAAGGTAATCTTTCACATTTAAATTCTTAAGAGTTGCATGTTTAGGAAAATTAGATCAATCTTATCTTCATACTATAAATTTTTTGCCAGCTGTAGTTGTAGCAAGATTTTAGGGCTTGGAGGGTGAGTCTCAACTGTTACCAAACATCCTCTGTAAGGAGAAAGATTGTTCAGAGACTAATTTGCAGCTGTTCTTTCCAAATGTCTCATTAGTGCAGCATGAAATACTTCCACTGCAAAGGCTGCATCTTGTTTAGTAATGCACAGTGGAGGTTTAACTCTAAATGTCTGAGGAGAGAAAAGAAAAGAGTTTTTTAAACTGGAGGCAGAGACCAATTGATGTGCAATGACACTAATACCATCACAGCATTTTTAAGGGTTAGTAATCCTGGAAAAAGTAACAGATATACTAGTTGTAACAATGGTAATACCAGCCTAGCCTAAGTGCTGTGAGTTAAACCCGCCTTTGTAGAGCGCAGTAGGGAAAGTGCTGCAGTCTGTCCACACTGACAGCTGCTTGGGCACTGGCATGGGCACGTTTGCAGCACTTGCAGTGGAAGCGGTGCATTATGGGCAGCTATCTGACCATGTAAGTGATTGCAATGTGCTTTTCAAATAGAGGTGGGGTGGAGTGACAGGAAGTGTGTTGTGTGTATGTGGGGAGAGAGAGTGGGGTTTTGGGGGGCTGAGAGCATGTCAGCATGCTGTCTTGTAAGTTCAGACAGCAGCAGCCCCTGCCCCTCTCTCTCACCCAGCATTCCACACTAATGGCTTGCATGCCGGCTGTCAGAAATGGAGCTTTGAAAGGGCATTTCCACATTCCTACAGGCGTTCAAAACAACGAGAAGAGGGACCACTTGACTTAAAGAGATTATAGGACGTTTCTGGAGGCCAATCACAGCGCAGTAACGCAACACCTCATTCACACTGACGCCTGCCCGTTGTACCCAAGGCGCAGCAAATGTTATTACTCCCGTCGAGGTAGAGTACCAGCACCGCTGTAGCTGCGGAGTCAGAGAGCTCTGTGCCTTGCCAGTGTGGACGGGGAGTAAGCTAAGGTGCCCGGGGCTCCTTTATTGCACTGTAACTCGCAAGTGTAGCCAAGCCTTAAGAGTGGCAAACTACTCCCATGCAAGAACCACACCCACACAAGCAGATGCTAGGCACATGGTTGAGTATTTCTACATTGTGATTTAAGAAACCTCAATACTACAACTGGGCAGAAGAATTAAATGAATGGAGGGAGCCCTAGCTAGTCATCCTGAGATGTGTTGCTGCAGGAGTCAAGTGTGGAAAAATAGATTAAAACTAGCAGAAGGAACAGCCAGTGGGTAGAAGGGGGGAAAACAGTGCTATTTTCTATACTACGTGAATCTATTTTAGTAAGATATGATTTAAGTAGTGTACTTCAATCATACATTCTTTTCATCGGCAAACATTTCTGCATGGTTCTGTTCTTCAATGTAGTTTTAACATATGTTCCCTTACTTAATTAGGGTTTCCAACTGTTTGAATCCACCAGAACTAAATCATTCCTATTTGAATTCCGCTGACTTTTATGTAAACTCTGCTGGTGCCTATCACCTGTTACAATTGGGGCTGAGTTTTGATTTAAATTATTATTTACTTCCATGCTCTCCAAACATTAAACTACACATCCTAGGGCAAACCGTCTAAATCTATCATTAATATGCATGCCTGGTCTGATTTTTTGAGAAGTTCAACGCTTACAACTGCTGCTGTCTGCAGATGCTCTGTCCTCAGACAATCAGGCTGAAATATTACTAGACCTTCAACAGGTGCAAATCTGTTCTTATCAGTTGATTGTGCAATGCAAGGATTAATTTGAGGTGGAGTAGGCACATCAGCAAGTCTCCAGTGCCCCCTTTCCCTACTGTAACTTATTCCCAAGGAAGCTGGCTGATCTGAGGGAGCCTGGTTAAGTCCTCTGCCTGCCTGTCCTGACTCTGAACACTGACAGCAGCAAGCTAATAAACCCTACCATTATCTTGGAGGAGGGAAATGCCAGCAATCCT